CCCCCCCACCCCGGCCCCTCCGTGTCACCACCGTGGGACTCGTGGGCCAGAGGGAAGCCTGCTGCGCTGTGAATCCCGCGTCTTCGACCGGCGCCTCCCGACAGAAACAGGCTAAGTCATTGCTTTGCAGGAAAGGGCAAATCTCAGCCCATCCATGGTTCTGGACGGTTCAGCAAGTTGCTTCGCTCCCCAGTCGGGTCCCCGCTGGCCTGGCTCTCCCCGGCCGCGGGCTGATGGCTCCGGTCAGCCACGGAGAGGGATGGGTACCTGCACCCCCGCTACAGGCCTTTCGAGCGAAGGCGCCCCAGAGCGGGAGGCAGATGCCCCGGCCCCCCGGATGGAAGGTTCCACAGAAAGTCCGGCTGCACCATCACGTGACAGAGCCCGTCTGAATCAAAGCACGGTCTTCAGAGACGCTTTGGCCCCAAATCTAGATTGAGTGCCCCACATGCGGGGAGCCTGTGGGTAATCACCGCGGGATCTGGGCTGGGGGGTCGCGCCCTTGTGGCGCCGTCGCAGAGAAGGGGCTCGGCGCGGGGGCAGGTGCACGCGGGAGGCTCGCTCAGACACCCCCTCCCCCCACCATGGGGCACCGTGCTGGCACTTTGGCTTTACCTCGTGGAGCAGTTGTCGAGAAAAGTCCCGGAACTCGGTGCTGCTGCGGTTGAGAAGGGCCCCCGTCACGTTGCGGTTGAGGACCCTGACGGTGACTTGGAACACCCGGGCATCTGCAACAGCGGGGGACAGAGTAGCGGACGCTGGCCATCAAAAGTCACGTGCTTTGCTGGCACCGCTTCCCAGGAAGCCTCTTCTTTTGAGGGGACGTTTGTTGGAGGAGAGAGAGAAGCTGCTGGATCGGGGAGCCGCGTTGGGGGACGTGATGTGGGGATGGTTTACTTCTGTGCTGGAGGGGGGCAGGAGCCGCCCGACACACACACACACACACACACACACACACACTTCTACAGCAGGGCAGGGACGGGCGGGACAGGGGCAGAGGCGTGCCCTGCCGTGGGAACCGGCTCTCAGCCGGCACACATAGGGTCTGAAGGCCCCTCGGTCATCCATCACCCCCCATGGCTGCCACTTTCCCAGCCCGATCACACGCACACAGCCAGCCAGCCAGGTCCTCACGCCGGACCCACCCGGGGCCCCAGCACTAACGTGACCAATGCGCCCCATCCGCCCGGGGCCTTCCGGGTCTGTGCCCCGAAATTCCCACGTAAAAGCACACTCTGCCCCAGGCCAAGCAGCAGGGGCGGTCACCTGCGAGGGAGGCACCTGTTCTTCAGACACAAGAAAAGCTGGGGGAGTAAGGTGGGACTGGGTGACACCCAGCTATTCCTTTCCTGAGCGTAAAACCGAGGTCCACGGCCGAGCCCGCTGTGTCGCCGCGTGTCCGCTGACCTAGCAGCCTCTCCCCTCCCCAGCTAGCGGGCTCGGCTCGCAGGGGCCGTTTACCACCGCTGCGTGCACACACCACGAGGGCCCCAGAAATGTCACCCGCGTTGTGCGCCGTGCCACTCTGGACCTTCGCCCATCTTCAGAGGAAACAGGTGTCCCTGTGACGTCAGCCTCGACCCTGCCCACGGCGCACCGCCTCCTGGAAGGTCAGTGCCCACCTGCGCCCGGGGAGTCTGCATTCTCCGCGAGAATGCCCACCACCTCCCAGTGGCTCCTGACGCGGCCGAACTAACTCAATAGAGCCTTTAAAGGGTGGAGGCCGATGTCATCAGAGGCCTGCTCATTCCGTCCCTCGTTCGCCCATTGCCACCGTCACTGGGCTAAGCCCCGCACGGGACAGGCCCCCGCTGCGTCTTGCGTGCAGCTGTGTCCGTGTCAGGGAGTTTTACCGTCCCCATCACCCACGTCTGCAGCCAACGGCCGGCCTAGGACACGGCTCCCGCCACCAACGTGACCGGGGCCCGCCCCACTCAGGGGCCGCCTGGCCGGGCCAGGGGACATCAAGTCACGGGGTGGGGCGAGGTCGGCCACCTGCAGAGCCCCCCCCCCCACCGGGCCACGCCAGCTGCCCTGTTGGAACTGAATCCCCAGCTCGTACGTATAACATGTTGGTTTAGGTGCAAGAAAACCCCTTCACGGCACCCAGGTAGCGGGTACCACGGTAGCTTTCCGAGTGCGTCGCGGGGGAAGCGAGGCAGCGCCATGAGGCTTTCAGGTGACGTGAGCTGCGGTTTGGGGGAGTCACAGACTCAGCCCCGAGAACTCGGTGCGCGGGAGTCTCTCAGCGCGTGCGAATCTCTACCCTTTCTGCTGTGTTACACTTTCCGCCCCGCTCTCTGCCTTCTCAGTCCTTCCAACCTGAACGCGGGGCTCCCCGTGGACCCTCCTCGCTGCAGGTGGGAGAGCAAGTCCCCCAGACGAGATGTGACGTAGGGGCGCGAGGGGAGACCACAGGTAGCAGGCGGAGCGCGCACGCGTGCCCTTACCGGTTCTGACGGCCAGTGTGGCGGTGACGTTGGCCCCGCAGCCCTGGTAGCCGGTCCGCACCCCGTAGAGCTCTCCGGCCTCCAGCCCCGCCACCTCCAGGCTCCTCCCTGCGGTCCTGGCGCTCCGGAGGAGCTCCTCCCCCTTGTACACCTGCACGTGGAAAGTGCGGGGCCAGGGAGAATGTAAACGCCAAGACACCCGAAAGCTGCTGCTGGTGACGTTGAGGGTCATGTAGTCCCGGATGGGAGGGCAGTCTGTGGAAGAAGAGAACGAGGAAGATGAGGCGACACCAGAGAAGCAACGAAAAGGCGAAAAGCCAGCAGTGGGACTCCGTCAGGCCAAGATAAAACGCTTCTGCACAGCAAGGGGAACCATCAGCCCGCAGGACGGGAGGAAATGTTCGCAAGTCACGTGTCCGAGAAGGGGCCAACATCCAAGGCGTAGCGAGGACGTCTACAACTCGGCAGCAAAAACGCCCCCCACAATCCAGTTAAAATGTGGGCAGAGGATCTCCGAAGAAGACGTCCGCACGGCCAACAGACACAGGACAAGATGCTCAGTGTCACTGACCGTCAGGAAATGCAAATCAAAACCACACGCAGACACGAGCTCACGCCTGTCAGCGTGGCCAGTTATCAGAAGAACGAGAGAGAACGCGATTGCCGATGCGGACGTGCGCTGCTGGTGGGGGTGTGGTGAGCCCACGGCGGAGACGGGATGCGGGTGCCTCAAAGAGTTAAAAATAGATCTACCCCACGCTTCTGGGCGTGTATTCAAACCAAAGAAACCACACTTTCTGGGAGGAGACACACGCGCCCCCCCCCCCATGTTCATTGCAGCGTTATTCACAAGAACCAACACAAAAGCAACCCAAGGGTTTGCATTGTGGCCACGATGGTGCGTCAGGGGATGAACTGTGTCCTCCCCAAATTCATCTCTTGGAGCCCTAACCCCCAGCACCTCCGAATGTGACTGTGTTTGGAGATCGGGTCTTTAAAGAGGTGATTTAAAGTGAGGCCGCGAGGGTGGCCCTACTCCCATCTGACCGGTGTCCCTATGGGAAGAGATCAGGACACAGACACACACAGAGGGACCACCAGGTGAGGACACAGGAGGGGACGGCGTCTGCACACCCAGGAGAAAGGCCTCAGGAGAAGCCAGCCCTGCCCACGCCTGGATCGGGGACTTCAGTCTCCTGGACTGGGAGCGAATGGGTTTCTGTCGTTTAAGCCGCCCAGGCTGTGGTGCTCTGTTCGGGCTGCCTGAGCAGATGAACACACACGGGGTGTGCTGTTTCTGTGCTATGTTTATAAATGTGATCTCGACCCCGATTCACAGGGCCCAAGCGTTCTGATTCACTCGCTTGTGGTCATCTGCCCAAGGACCTCCGCCGGGATCGCTCATCGCTCGGAAGCTATGGCTCGGAGGGAAGCCAGAATCACGAGTCAGGCCGGGGCTCCTCACGTGTCCCTGTCGAAAGACCCGCTTCAGGAGCAGTACTCTAACATAACAACCAAGACCTGTTTTAATACTCAAACAGAAGTCAGTCTCTCTTTGGGAAATAGGAATTCTATAAAAAGTAGACGGCCCTTGGTCTAGTCACCATAATTTTTACATCAGAATTTGAGTTCTATAAAAAAAACAAGCCATGAAGGGACGCCTGGGTGGCTCAGTCGGTTAAGCATCCGACTTCAGCTCAGGTCACGATCTCGCGGTCCGTGAGTTCGAGCCCCGCGTCGGGCTCTGGGCTGATGGCTCAGAGCCTGGAGCCTGTTTCCGATTCTGTGTCTCCCTCTCTCTCTGCCCCTCCCCCGTTCATGCTCTGTCTCTCTCTGTCTCAAAAATAAATAAACGTTAAAAAAAAAATTAAAAAAAAAAAAAACAAGCCATGAAGGCTTTTAAAAAAATCTTTGAAAATCCGAAGTAAAGAAAAAATAATTAAAAAGCGTCTGACGTTCCCCCAAGCCCTTCACATAAGGATTCATAGGACGCATGCTTTCCAATAGCATGACAAAGTCCTGTCTTTCTGGACAAATGCGTATGCCTCCTCTCAGTCAAACATAAACGCTGGTACAATTCAGCCTGTTTTGCCTTGGCTGCCAGGAGGCTCAGAATCAAGTTTCGTGCCCCACTCTTGTCCTTCGCCCAGCCTTGCCGTGTCCCGAAATCACAGAGCCCTGTGTGAGTGTGCTTCCCCACTGAGCCCCCACCGGGCCCCCGAGCAGGTGGATATGAACCGCTGGACGCTCATCCCAGGTGAGCCCAGCCCTTCCTTCGCCATCATTCTCGCCCACGATCGGTGCCCATCTCACTCCTCACTGTTCCTGGTGACTCTGCTAGGATGGGGGGTGGAGCGTACTTTGAAGAAGACGCACCTGTCTTTTTTACCGAACTGTCCAGTATTTTTCTGTGCGTTTGTCACGCAAACGGACAGGGACGCAGTTTCACATCCTTCCCGGTGCCATCTTTTGTGGCAAGAAAAGGAAGACGTGATTTGGCCGAGGGGCGGCCAGGTCTTGGGGCCTGAGACTGTGGGTCTCACCCCCACCTCCCCGCCACTGGAACCCTGAAATCAAAAAGACGCCCCTGCAGCCCAACCTTCCAACAACCACGGGGCGGTCAGTCTGCCCCTCAGCAACAAAGGGGTCGTGGGGAAAGCAAGGAAGGGCTGCCACGCCTTCCCCCCAAATCCGCTCAAAGCACAATGTTTCCACGTTGGCAGGCCGCACGACTGTGCCGACAGCTCGGAGCCTGGAGCCTGCTTCGGATTCTGTGTCTCCCTCTCCCTGCCCCTCCCCTGCTTGGGCTCTTTGTCTCTCTCTAAAATAAACAAACATTAAAAAAAAAAAGTTTTAATAAAATTTTTAAAAAATGAAAAAGGCTGTCGCTACATCTGTGAAATGACCTGATGAATGGGGCACGGGAAGAGTCTAGAAGGCACCGGGCTGGCCAGAGATTCACTCACTCTTCAGTTAAGATGCAGTCGGTCCCTAGGTCCCTGGGCCAAGAAGCTGCCGACCCGGCTATTTCGAATGCTGTGAAACCTTCCGTGCTGCCGTGGGCCCAACGTTCCCGCCACTGAGAGAGTCTGGGGGCCTGAGGAGCCCCCCCCCCCCCCCCCCCC